TTTAGATCGTCAACAAAAGTTTTTGGATGGGGTATGTTACTTGTTTGGTAAATTAATATTCTATTTGTCAGCTTTATCATTTATAATATATCGTAATGGCCCGCAGGTTAAGGTGCCCGCCCGCTTCTCATGCATGAAGATGCGAGTTCGAAAGTTACCAACGGCAAGTACCAATGTGAATTTTTCCGAGTTATATGTACTTTGTAAGAGTATCTAGACACCCTATCAGTGGTGTCTAGATAGGTCAACGGAGGAAAACATTGTGGGGAAACCTGGACTCATGATTTCATATTGTAAGTTTGATACTGCCGATCCGCCTTGAGTAAGCTTAGTGATTAATGCTATAACCTTCTCCTCGTCGCGGAGAATCTAACGGGTTACCGGGGCTCCTGCTCGAAGCGCAGGAGTAGGAACAGGGTGGTGTTTAGTCAGTAAGAGTCTGACACTCCCTCTCGCCTCACCCAGGCGGGAGAAGTCATTCAACAATTTTCCCCTTATGAGAAGAGGCCTTTGCTCAGTAGTGGGCATTTATAGGCTGACGATGATTTTTTTACTTTAATTCTGTTGATTAACCACTTTTCTGCCTGTATTTATGATACAAGAAAGAAAGAAAGAAAGAAAAAACATTTATTTAGCACCAGGCACGATGCAGCATACATAAATAAAATAAAAAAAAAGACATACAGTAGAAAGTATATTATGTATCGGGGGATCTACGTTTCGGCACATGACGGGTTAAGCAAATTTAATTCTAAGATGAGGCAGATATTCCCTGTGACTTTCCCAATACCTTTGTTAATGCCACTTAACTCGTCGAGTACCGGTATTGCAGACACAATTATAGAACAATAGGTTGCGGTCACCGGTGACCGCTTGGTATTTGACAGTTTAAAAAACAAACAATATCAATTTAGCCTACATACAATAAGGTTCAAAATAAAATCAATTACTTAAACCTAGACCCGGGCATGTAATAATACGGGCACAAAGAAACAATATATCCGTTCCTGAAAGAAATAATCTCGGCCAACTTATTCCGATTAGGTTTCATAAAAACAAAGGTTCTATAAGATCTGACCGTTGCGTATTATTGGCGAATAAAAATAAGAATTGTAATTTTTCCAGTCGGTTGCCTAGCAACGGTATTGATGAGGGTTCAGCTTGAACTGTGTGTGTGGTCTTTGGTCTAGAAAAGTCAAGTTACAGTGAGGTTACAACGTTGGTGATGGTGAGTTGTATGGTTTTTCTTGCGGTCTATTAGAGGTAAGACAGAGATCTCATGCTTGAGAAAGTAGGGCCTGTCTAGCGCCAGGTGATGATAACGATTTTTTTTATTTTTACATTCTAAAGTGCCATCCTGGTGGAATTCGGATAGTTATGATTTTCACTTTGATTGCTAGTATGGCAAACTATTCACTGAGGGAAGTGGAAACTATAGTTTTTTTCTTCTTCTCTTATGATATCTTCTGATTCACTTCGTTGCGGGAACCGTTGCGTTGTCCCTGAGACGCGGCGAACTTCAGTGTTCCGGTGTTTTCATGTTGTATCTACCATAGATCCTAGCTTACAGGAGTTGCAGCGATTTCGGAAGGATGTGTCAGGCTTGTCCCATTAAAAAAAAAGTATGGCAAACTATTATTTTTTTCCTACTTTAGATCCGAGTAACATGAATGACTATTGTTATATTAAATTGTGACATCATATTACACCATGTCATCAAGAGCCTATAAGTGCCCACTACTGACCAAAGGCCTCCCATCACACGGAGAAGGTTTGAGCATTCATCATCACGCTTGCACAATGCGGATTGCCGCTTTTCAAATTATAATTAGAAATTATAAGCCCAGGTTTTCTCACGTAGTTTTCTTTCACCGTATGTATGGTATCTAAATAATCTTATAAATCTTAGAAAGTACATATAACTCGGCAATAATCACATTGGTTACCTTTGGTAAGTTTCGAACCTGCACCCTCATGCGTTAGAAGCGGAGTCTTAAACCTCGGGGATCGCGGGACGATCTCCGGCCACCGTAAGCGCGGGCCTGCGGACGGCGAGCATGGGTGGCTCCCCGTCCGACCAGAAACAGACCCGAGCATACGGCGCGTCGCGTTCCCCGCGCGCCTTAAAGAACCATCAGACCACCACAGATGGGGCCCAATACGGCCGATGCCGGTTCGGAGTCGCGGAGCACCTAACGGGTAACCGGGGCTCCGACTCGACGTGCAGGAGAAGGAACGGGGTGGTTTTTAGTCAGTAAGAGTCTGACACTCTCTCCCGCCTCACTCAGGCGGGAGCAGTCATTCGACGATTTTCCCCCCTTAAAATAAAAAAAAAACCTCCGAGGAACCACGACGTTGTGAGTTAATGACGAAATTAAGTATTACGTCGGTCGATTTAGCAATTAACAGCTGACAGAAAATAAATTTATTGAGTTAAACATAAAATAAATTTTAACTTAGTATAAATGCAAAACAGTAGATCTTAAACGCGTTTTGTTTTAACAAACGCAACACAAAAACTAACGCAGAAACACTATTGAAATTCTGAACTAAAATCTGAGCTTATATTGTGTTGAAAACTGTGCTAAATCTAGATTAGAACAACTATTATGATCTGAATTTCTAAATGAATCCCATTCCTGCCCAGTCTCTAATGGTCCTAATGTTCGCGAAAGAGTAATATCATTTTCCTAACTGCAAATTGAAATATTTGAAAATTTTTGGTGCAATTTTAAAGGAATTTTAATAAAATTCTTAGGTTTAGTTTTATTTGATTGTTTAATTGTGTTTTAAGTTTTATCTTGAGTTAAATTAATTTAGAGAAATTTTTGGTTATAAAATGTCGTTTAAATAGTAAAAATATTATCATTAAAGTGTACCATAATGATAAACAAGAGATAGTTACCAAACACTTATTGTCAATAATAAAATTATGAATGTTATTGAAACATCATCCACAAGTAGTGTCGTGGTACCCCGGAGGTTTAAAACGCCCGCTTCTCATACACGAGGGCGCACGTGGGTTTACAACCTACCTATGACAAACGTACCAATGTGACTTTTGCGAGTTATAATTATGTACTTTATTAGATTATTTAGATACCACTGTTATCGGTGAAGGAAAACATCGTGACGAAACCTGGGCTTATAATTTCTAATTATAATTAACCCTTTCAGTACCGTCATTATAGACAGAATTAAAGAACAATAGGTTGCGGTCACCAACATTCTCGCGGTGTTTGACAGTTTAATGCTCAAACCTTCTCCGTGTGAGAAGAGGCCTTTGGTCCGCAGTGGCCATTTATAGGCTGTTAAAGTGAAGTTATCATACACAAGCGGTGTATGGTTTTTCATAAATAATTAATTCAATTGTCTTGACCACTTACATAATTCATTTAATATTTGTAAACTTGCTAAAATCGTATCAGTGATTACACAATGTCATAGAGCATTAGAATGGAAAGATCAATGTAGAGGTATATTATAGATGCCACATCATAATTCCCATCCATTCAATGTTTGAAAAGTAATTGATGAAAACGATTGTCCCATCTCTGGCTTAGCTTTGAGATCCATCACCTTCATGAGAAAGATTTACAAAGACAACAAATTACATATTGAGGTTCAGTTTTACATAGGGTTGCTCCTATTTGAATTCCATTAACATATTTTAGCATTGACGTCTATTTTCTAAGGATAAGATCTTTACTTTGATTTGTGTAATAGTATTTTTATGTATGCATATTATTATTTAATATTAATTATTTATTTTTTATTGTGTTCTGATTTCGCATCAATCGCTTCATTTCTCTGCACTTCCCTATGGTTGACTGTCAGAGAATGCCTTAAAGCATTAAGTCCGCCATTCACTGTTATCTTTGTGAAGAAGTAATCTTAAATAAATAAGTAATAGTTTCGTAGCTTTCGCGTGTGCGTTTTCTTGTCTAACTATATGCAGATGTTTTAGATGGGAGTAGATACACGTGTGTTAACGGAATGCTTTTGAAAATACTGATATAAAACAGTTGTTTATACATTTTTAATTGTTTTTGTTTTCGTGTCATTCATGCAACATCAGCCTTAAGTGGTTGATTATAACTACCATAACATAAAAGAAATATTGAATTCCTTACTTTTATTAAAATTAAACTGGTTTTTTACTATTAACTTTCGGTGTTTTTCGAAAGCGTTCCGATTACACTTTAGTTTTATAAATTTGAAGAAATTATTGACAATTTCATAATATTTCAATAGCTTATAATGCTATATAGAAACATTTCAAACAAGATGCTTTCGCTCCGCTCCTACCGCTCCCTCTCGCTTCACCCGGGCGCGAGAAGTCATTGGATGTATATGTATCAGAGACATTGTAGAAGATACTTTTTTAAAAGGAGTAACGGATTGAGTTTCTTGCTCATTCTTCTCTATTCGAATCTACATTTTGGAATGAGCACCTAGCTTCTCCTGTCTTCACTGACGGACTGGCTGACAGACTATTATTTATTTTGTATTTTTTGACGTTTCAAAAGTACCAAACTATGGTTTAATCGAAATAAATGCTTTGACTTTTTGACTTTTGATGATTTTCTACCCTCAAAAAAAGATAAAGCCTCAAAGCAGATTGATGATAATGAACTCATAATTCGCAGTATTTGTATACAAGGTTCTATATGTTTTTACTAAGATATAATATATAGAAAAAAAATTGAAAACTACAAAAAGCTTGAAAAATATCTTTAACAATTGCTAGATATTCAACCCGCGTCCTCATGCTTGACAACCGTGCATCTTTACCTCCATGCCATTGCAATGAGAGTAGTAATAGTAACATTGCATAAACCATGGGCCCTATCACAAAAATATTTACGTTTCATTCTAACAATGAAAGAAAATAAACACTAAGTATCACATAATATGTAATAACTATCGCACGGTGTTAGGTTCACAGTGCAAATAAATGCAACATTGAAACTGTTCATTCATCTATGAGCTACGTAAGGGAGAAGGTGAATATAATGTTTTCCAAGATAATTTTGATATTCATAGCAAAGTTTTTGTGGACTGTCGCCTGGGATATGAGTGATGTGGACGACATTGATGATATTGATATTTATGAGATCAATACCGGTAATTATGTTTTGTTTTTTTTTTCATTAAAATGATCTGAAAGTCATTTTTATCTTGTTCTAAATGTCCTTCCTACTCAGGGGCGTAACTAGCGTCGTATCTGCCGTACCAATGATATGGGGCCTCCAGACCCCCAACGTATAAGCAAAAATATAAAAACTTCTTAATTTATATTTTATTTCAGTAATCACAAAATGCACGTTCAAAGGTTGGCAGAAACCATGGAACAGAGTAATCTATTCCATGGAAGAAACTTTGGAAAAACTGAAGTACCTAATCATTGTCCGATAATTTGGGCATAGGAGGCATTTTATGTAAAAAAATCTCTTATAAGAAATTTTACCTTTAATAAGGGCCCCAAACTAATTTTTATACGGGGTCCCGCCAAGATATGCTAAGCTACTGCTCCCACTATGGCTCTTAGATCGATATCATTTAGTTATACTGATAAGAATTACAATTATGTATATTGCCTAAGTCAGAAGACTCAATCAGCTCTGCCGTTGAATGGATCTTAACCCAGGAGGGGGGTATTCGAATACATAATCTACTCTATCATTGCGAGTATACAATGGGCAGCATTAATCACTTACCATCTGGCTAACCTGTTGGTTATTGGCTGGTATGTATAAAAAAATATGTAATATATTTTTACTGTAACAGGGAAGGCTCCTTTTTTCGAACTGCCTTGTATGAGAATCGGCGGTACTTGTGCAAGAGTCCATGCTTGTCCTCCCGGCACAAAAGTAGGCCAAAAAGGCTTGTGTCCCGAACAACAAAGATATGGCATGGAATGCTGTAGACCTCGTGAGTTCTTCTTCATCTATGCATTTTTTGAAATAAGAAGCAATATGTTTGGCAAGGTAAAATTTTGGTGTAGTTTACTACTTATTTGTAGTCATTTTCCATGATAATACTGCCACTACTATTCGTTAATGTGAACATTTCTGGTGAGAATTCGAATTTTAATGATATCAATAATTTTTGCACCGAAATTTTACCCGACCTCATTGGCTTATCGCATTGTAATAGAGATTAAAAAAACAGGGCAAATGGACATGGCAGGAAGAAGAGGAAGTAGCACTGGAAGACCACACATACCAGTTAAGTGGACAATAAACAAGGAAGATAAAGGGAAGGCTTGGAAAAAGAAAGTTCAACCAAAACTATTGTGGCGCACAAAGAGCAAGGTAGTTGATGAAATAAGCCAATGAATTGATTATAGAAGGATAGCGTTTTTGTTAGTCAAACTCATTTCTCTATGTGACAGAATCTTTTTAGTGGCAGTATTATTTAAATTTGTTCAAGGACAATGGGTAATGTTGAGCTCGCTTCTCAATATAAATAATCCCCTCGATGTTTAAGTACTCTTATGCAGAATACAACATGATACTATTTAATTTATATAAGAATTAATAATACTTATATGAATTGCCATCCATCCAAAGATTAATCCCGGCAAGCATAGATTAACCTTGAGGAACGACTTATATACAAGTTATTTAGTAATTGTTTAGTATCTAGACTGCCTCGTTGGCCAAGTGGTCGCAAGTGCGACTGCCGGGTTCGATTCCCGGGTCGGGCAAGGTATTACTGGGTTTTTAAAAAAAATGCTTTATACCTACTGTAGCAGCAGTTGTACGACAAAACACATAAGTTCGATTCTTTCAAGTACCTACCTATCTCCTATTTATATTGTTCTCATTTATAGGCACATTGATATTCCACGTTTTTGTGTGATGATTAATGATTGCAACACACACACTGTTCGTCCTCTACAAGAAACCGTTGTGTTATTTTTGAGACGGGTGATGACGTCATTGCTCATTCAACCCAAAGTCACAACGACGGGTCTATTGTTTACCTCCTAATGACTTTATTTAAATACTAGCTTTTACCCGCGGCTTCGCCCGCCTCACAAAATGATAAAAAGTAGCCTATGTGACATATACCAATACACACAGCGCCATCTATACGAATACTTTTGTTTTTCCTCAGGAATATCAATTTTTTCCGGGATAAAAAGTACCCTATTATTGAATCCGGACTTCTAACTTTACTTCTGCAAAAATTCAAAGCAATCGGTTAAGTAGTTACGGCGTGAAAGCGGAACAAACACACAAACAAACTTACTTTCCGATTTATAATATTATATATATATATATATAACATAACATCACGCCTTTTATCCCCTAAGGGGTAGGCAGAGGTGCACATTATACCACTGTACAATGTAACACCCACTTTTCACTATTTATGTTATGAGTCCCATGTAATAGGGGGTGAGCCTATTGCCATATACCGGGCACAATTCCAGACTCCATGCTACTACTGAGAATATTTGAAAAAACTCAGTAAGACTTTGCCCGACCCGGGAATCGAACCCGAGACCCCTAGCCCGGCAGTCGCACTTACGACCACTCGGCCAACGAGGCATATATAGTAAATAGTAATATTAGTAATTAGTAATATTAGTAATATTAGTATTAGTATATTAGTATTAGTATTAGTGTATCAGTATATAGTATATTAGTATTAGTATTAGTAAGGATTTTGACTGATTGTATATTCTTGTTAACAAACACCTTTGTTTCAGTAAAGGGGTTAACCGAGTGTCGATCCAGACACGGCGAATGCGTTCCAAAATCATTCAGGTGTTCGCCAGACCTACATGTTTCAGATGCAACTGGCTGTGGTTTTAAGGAGACCTGCTGTTTACGGATCCCAATGCATGCGATGTAGATGTCCATGCGTTTACTGTTCCATAATGAGTCTTAGATGGTGTATTAAGTTACGGAATGTATGCACCTATATCTTTGTCTTCGTTAAGGATTCGTAAAGTAAAATGAATTAGTGTTTTAATTAAGGTATTTGGTTTTATATATTTGGGTATTACAGCTAGATAATTTGTTACGATTAAAAGTAATCTAGAATAATTAAGAACTCATATATTTTGTTTTTAATACCTAGCATTAAATAGTTGAATAAATATTTTATTACTATATCTCTGGTTTTATTTATTGTACCAAAATGTCATATAAGCTATTGTTGTTGCGTAAACATTTTTTTTTATATATTTGATGGGCCGACGTTTGACCACTATCTCGCCTGGTGGTATTATTATTAACCTATTAATCATCATCTTCTAAATATGTTCATACAAAAGTAGGCTCTAAATATTGGAAATAAGGTCTATAATGTAGTTGGTGGAGATCGGTCACCGGTGACTGCTTGGATATATATATTTGTTTTTTATAATAAGCTATTGGCGTCGCCCATGGACACCTGGAACACCAGAGGCGTTACAAGTGCGTTACCGGCCTATTGGGGATTAGGAGTTTGAGTATCGTTGGGGATTCAATGATTGGGGAGATTGGGGAAGGGGAGGGTAATTGGGCCTCCGGTAACCTAACTCACACGACGAAACACAACGCAAGCGTTGCTTCACGTCGGTTTTCTGTGAGGCCGTGGTATCACTCCGGTCGAGCCGGCCCATTCGCGCTGAAGCATAGCTCTCCCACACATATGATTATATTATTAGATTATTAAAAATTATTTGAAAGTCATAATCGTTGAATCAGAACAGCTAACTTTGGTTTTTAACCAACTTCAAAAAAAGAAGAAGGATCTCAGTTTGACCTGTATGTATGTATGTATGTATGTCGGTGCGGAATTGCGATTGGCTGAACCGATTTCGATGCAGTTTACAAAAAAGTATTTGTTACACTTAGTAAAAGGTTTAGTATATTAATAAATCAGCCTCAAAAAAGAGGGGGTTGGAGTCTATAACGTAGTTTATAAAATAATTATATATGTCTGTAGTCTATAGGACTTAGATAGTGAGACTGACGAGTGATAAAGTTACTGGGAATACAGTTGTACCATGCGGAAATGTAGTTGCTTAATCGTTTTTTTTAATCGTTTCCCCACATTAGGATTCTCTCCTGCGTCGTGGGTGCGTTTACAAACATACAAGTTCACATAAACAATGACACCCAGACCCAGAAATAACAATTTGTGGATCACACAAAGTTTTGTTCCGTGTGGGAATCGAGCCCGTGACACGTTGCACGGCAGCCGGTTGCCCAGCCATCGCACCAACCGTGCAGTCAAAAGTAGAATCTGAGGACAAGTTTTTGAGGACATAGTAATACACATTGAGTTCCAGTTCCAATGACAAGGAGAGATATGCAGTGACCTATATGTGAACACGGACAATACCTATTGTTGAACGCGTGCTAACGCGCGTTGAAGAGCGTTCCGTTCAAACTATATTTTGTTGAAACTTTATTATAGAGGTAGGAGTAACACTGGAATATTTGTGTTCTATATATGGACCCTGTTAAGCAGAAAAAAATTATTACTTTTGAGTAAATGAAGTTTAAAGTAATTATTTGATACAGTATCTATTCCTATATTATACATTATACATTTGATACGTAAGTGTGGGATAGCCATGCTTTGGCATGAATGTGCCGGCTCGACCGGAGTGATACCACGGCCGAGCAGAAGACCGACGTGAAACAACGTTTTGTTGTGTTTCGTCGTGTAAGTGAGGTTACCGGATGCCTAATGACCCTCCCTCCCTTTCCCCAATCCCTGAATCCCCAACGATCCTCAAACTCCTAATCCCCAAAAGGCCGGTAACGTACTTGTAACGCCTCTGGTGTTCCATGTGTCCATGGGCGACGCCGATTGCTTACCATTAAGTGATCCGTCTGCTCGTTTACCGGCTTATGCCATAGAAAAAAACAACTGTTGAAGTAACATTGTTTAACATAGCAATTCAAAGACGAGCTGATTTAAGTGGATAAGGGACAATTATTCCATTGAACATTTTCCCATTCTTTTACTAATCTCGATACAATTGTGTACCAATTGATTAAACAAACTATTAAGTAAATGAACTAATCAACTTTTGATCGTATTGTATTAAGTTATCAAAACAATCATGTATTCTCGAAAAAATCTTTGTTTTAAAATGTACTATTGTCTTATTGTATTGGAATAATTATTCAGAAAGGTTAATGAATGATTAATGCCTTGTTTCACTTACCCCTGGTGCTAAGATGTCATTATTTTTTCACCCTGGAGGATAAAAAAGTGAGATAACCTCTCTCACTTTTTGTATATATTAAGACCGCAGTAGCTTATTGTGCTTGACCCGCAGCCGACCGGGAGATTTGGTTATATTTATTTGCCAATAATTTGATGTGTCTTTCGCATTAACTGGAGCTATAAATTAATAAATAATAATAAAAAAAATCTCCCCGATCATTTTCGATCACGGTGTCCAGTCTGTCTAACTAGACTAGCCCATTACGCAGGAAATATTATAGTGCACAAGTGTGTTCGCAAATACAGGTGCACTCTGTTCCCTCACTCTCTGAATCCGATGTGACGGCAGACCGACACGACCGGAGAGAGGTCAGAACCAAGGGCTTTACGTGCTTTCCACAGCATAGAACACCGTCGAATTTCCTGACACGGGGCTAATAATGGTAATTTTGCTCAGAAAATGTCACTTTTTATCCGACTTGAGAATCTAACCCGCGACGCGTTGCACAGCAATTGGTCATCCAACCACTGCGCCAACCGTGCAGTGTTACTGCAACTAGATTACTCTATTGGGGCAGTGGCTGAGTGGCTACTGCAGAATGGGTCACGGGTTCAATTCCCACACGGTACAATTTATGGTGTGGTCCACAAAGTGTTGTACCAGTCTGGGTATGTATGTAAATCGTACGTTCATAAACTCACCCAATATATCAGAGTAGAATCTTATTCAGCAGTGCTTCACAGGTTCTAAAAAACAATTTCTTAGCTTTATATTTTTAAGTATAGAGGCTTTTACAAAGAGCGACGCGATTGCATGGTACGATTCTTTTTTTCCTATTCTTGTGTATTTGATCGACAATTCTAGAGTACCGGAAATTTAGAAATGTTTGTGTTATTCAAATCTTTATGTTTTTGTATATTTGCCCTTTGTTATATGAAAAACAATAAACCACGAACACGCCAAAACACTAATTGTCGGTTCGTTTATTTATTATATTTATGGTAGTTTTATTTATGATAATAAAATAACAGATCCGGGTATAAATATATTACCAAAAACCATTTCCTATCACAATCCTATATCGTTCAAAAACAACGAGCAGTGTCAAAAATGCATCGTATTATTTTCCTTATAATATTTTTTTATAATATTCTGTATAGTTGGACTTTATACCCAGTGCGCCATGTAAAGGGGAGTGACGACGATGGTAACAAGTTTTTGTATAGATTTTTTGTAGTTCAGTGTTAGACCAGTTTGGTTGAAACGTAATCCTACGCTATTATATATTGTGGTTGGAACGAGATGCAGATTGTTATCCACACCGAAAAGTATTCCTTCTGGATCTTAGAAAAAATATTTGTTACGGAAACCAAATCTGGCAATAAGTCGCAATTCCTTTAAATTTAAAGTCCGTGAGCATTTATTTAAGCATTGGCAGACTCAAAATAACTATTTTGACAAAGTTTTTTTTATAATATTTTCTAACATTTATGCAGTAGGTATAAGTATTCATATAGCAGTATATATTATATAGTATGTATGTATATAACGATTTATAAAATATTGTATTAATATATTTATTCTATAGATATTTAAGTGTGTAGTATACATATTACTTATCAAATTTTTGAATTGTGTTCTGGCTTCGCATCAACCACTTCATTTCTCTGCACTTCCCTATAGTTGACTGTCAGAGAATGCCTTAAGGCATTAAGTTCGCCATTCACTTTTATGTTTTATGAAGAAGAAATAAATAAAATCTATGACATTTTGCACAGTAGCCAACCCAACTTCTAAGGCAACCGTGCAATATTACCAGCATATGTTTTGTTGTTAGAGATATAAAATGATAAAGGCAAAAATAATAATGGTGTCCATACCATCATTTGGTGTTTCATAAAATTCTCTTGCAATAAAACTGCTTGCAAAAATGGTAATGCAAATCAATTTCGTCTTTTGTTATACTACGACGGTGGCATAAAAGCACACGGGCTACCTGATGGTAAGCGGTCACCGTGGCCTATGTACGCTTGCAACAGTTGGGGCATTACATGTCTTTATTACATTTTGTTCTTATTATGTGTTCTTCAGTGTTCACTTTATTCATTAATTTTTACTAATACATTTTTATATAGCCACAGTACACACAGAAGCCGCAGTCACACTAACAGATGATCCTGACAAGCCATCGTGTTCGCGATTGAACGGCGTTTGTGCCGAAATAGGTCGTTGTCCACGCGGGTCCAGGATCGAAATTAGGGGCTTATGCCTAGATGAGGAAGATAACGAATGCTGTATACCCCGTAAGTTTCTTTTATTTATACATTAAGTTAGCGTTTAACCTTTTAATCTCTGAAGAGATAAACACACAGGATAGATGACTAATTTATATTTTAATGTCCGTCTGGTAGATTATTTAAAAACATTAAACACGTATTTTCTATTTTTCTACAGAAACGAATAATTTCGAAGATACACTGATTTGAAATATCGCATGACGTTAGTTTTGAGTAAAAATCACACTCTAAAATGACAAAATAAAAAATATGTGTCTAATATTTTTCATTATTATCTAACTGACGGACTAATTAGATTTTTAATTATGATACCCTGGAAACTGTCAGTAGCCGTTTTCTGATGGCACCCTTCTTCTTTCCACAACTTCCGCAAGAATTAACTATAG